GAAGCCCAGAACCCGGGGGCAGCCAGTTCCAGAGCAGCAGTCTAGCGGGCAGGAAGGAGGGGCCCTGAACTGTCCCCGTCCCCGGCCGGCCTGAGCCAATCATCGCCTGCCAAAGTGGGCTGCCCCAATTGGCTCCAAGAGAGTCACGTGTGGAAGCCTGGCCAATCCGGGCAAGAAGGGTACTGGCGGGTGAACAGGAGGGAGCCGAGTCCTGCCCCTCGCCTGGTTGCCGCTGCGCCTTGTCCTGCTTTCCCACCTGGGACTTTGCACCCGCTGTACTTTCCGCCACCAGGTCCCTGCCCCTGCCTGTCCGCAAGCCTCTCTCTCACCCTTCGGCTGGTGTCTTCACCACCCGTCCATCCTTCACGCAGACGGCGGCCACAGGAGCGAGTCCCTTCCGCGCGCGCGCGGAGGACTTCGCTGTTCCTGGTAGTGATGGGACAGTCCTAGCCCTCAGCGGCCTCCCTCGCCTTGCCTCCTCCCTGGGAAGCGGGGTTTGGGTGCCAGGTGGAGACCCCGTCTGACTTTACCCTATAAAACTCTTTAAAGCACAACCACCGTCCCCAAGATCCATGTTCTCTCCAAAGCCGGGCTGGAAAGAGGAAAATTCCCACCAGGGGGCAGGAGCGCTCGTCCGCAGGTGAGCAAGGCGGTCTCTATCGCCTCAGGGAGCTAAGCTGGCTCTGGGGTGGGGGCTGCCTTTGGGCTGTAGGGAGTAAAGATAATCCCTAGGAGGTTCATAGCTGGAACCAACCCTGTTAGAACAAGTTAAAAGAGAAAAGCAAATCCACGTGTGTATTTCATATACATGAGAGCTAACAGGGAGTAGTTTTCAGAGAAGTGACAAGGCAAAGGAGAGGGAAGGAATTGAGTCTCTACAGGGCACAAACTTGGGATAAGACAAACAGATGGCAGCTAAAGGCCGGTTAGTGAAGCTTGTTAATGCAGAGTCCTCTGGTTCACCTCCAGGCCACCTTCAGTGCTAAGTGACCTGTTACTTCAAGTAGAGAGGGGTGCAGTGAGCTTTCCTGTGTCTGCTCCTCAGCCGACTTGGGCTCCACAGTCTTTCATGTTTGGGGGAGGTATATTCTGGTCTCTCACACAGCCAACCCAGCAAGGACAGGGGCAAGCCTTCTTTCTGCCCTCACCCCACTCTCAGGCTGGGAACCCCTGCAGACAGGGCTGTCCTCCTCCTCCTCTACCCCCACACAGAGACCTCATGGTGGGTCTGAAGTGGCCAGGCCATACCACGGAAGGGCACAGG